ACCTCCAGACTCAACTATAGAGTAGCCTTCTTGGTATCCCTTGACTACTCCAAGGCATCCCTAATCAATTTGCCCACAAATAAGTTCCTAGTTTCCATGTCTTTCATCATAAAACACTGGGGGAGATGAGTTCACCAACTTCCCTACTAAATACGGATCTCTCCCACCACCCATCCAGATACAAAACCTAGAAACCAAGGTTGAAACCTTCTGAAGGTCAAGGTGGTGAGGTAGGCAGACATGACTTGCCAAAGTCATGTCTTCACACAACACATCAAAATTACAACTGAATATACAACAACCATCACTACAGTCAGAAATTGGGTTGAATGAATTAAGGAAACCACATCAATTCAGACTGAGCCAGCAAACAGGTCCCATAGGTGAGACTCTGTCAACCTGGCTAACTCTGTTTGACCTGCCTCAGAGAGCCTCAGAGGCTCTGGCCCACCCAATTTATGGCCCACCTGAGCTGCTTTTCCAGATGAATGGCTGGTCTTGGCTTCTGCTTCAAGCTTCCTAAATCCTCTCAAACAAGCAACAGCAGGCCTCAATTAGCCCCAGACTGGGCACTAGCATCAGTGAGTCTACATTCACAGCTTGGCTTTGCCTAGGAATCTACAAACCCAGCACAAGTAGCAGCTTTCTCAGATTGCTTTATAGCTCAGGCAGGGTGGCTCCGGGAAAAACACAGGTGAGGGCTCACCTTGGCCTACAACCACCAGGAAACCCTAAGGCCAGCATACCCAGTGGATAGCTACAGACCATACTGGAACATCACCAACCTGCCCCTGCACAGCTGATCCTCCATGGACAGTGAAAGTTGGTAGTAAGTGGTCATAGCCAATGCTTGTAGCTGACTGGCCTGGGTAAATCCCTCCCTTCATCTGCCAACAGCAACCAAGGCTCAATTACCAAGAAGGTGTACTCAGCCCACATGAACGATGCACCTTGAATACCCAGCTTGGCTGATAGGGGAGGCTGTGCTACTACATTAGGACACTCTACCAGGGCAGAGTCAAAAAAGTTCTACCTAATACACAGAAACAAACAGGGAGGCTGCCAAAATCAGGAAACCAAGAAACATGGCCTAAATGAAAGAACAGACAAAACTCCACAAAGAGCTAAATGAAATGGAGATAATCTATCAGCTTCAGAGTTCAAAACACTGGCAATAAGGATGCTCTAGGAATAATAAGGGCCATTGAACAACAAATAACCTATCACCAAATAATTAAGTTTTTAATCCTGAATATGAAAAGGCTGTTTTCAGTATATGGGAAGGTTTATTTCAGGTTTATTTTTTCATTATGAAAAACAGAAAGCGAAGCAAAGGCACATTGTATTACTTGCACTTGAAGAAATACTATGCAATCATTAACAAATTTTGAAGACTATGTTAATGTGGAAAGAAGATCATCATTACCAATCCATTATTGTATGAAATGTTAAAGGGACTTATCTAAGAAAAAGAAGATAAAAAAGATGAACAGTAAAAGGACAGCGAACTTATTTATTAACAACCATACCTAAGACAAAAGCAAACTAAGACGACAGCTAGATCAGGAGCAGAACCATAGAAATGAAGATCACATGAAGGGTTAGCAACAGGGGAGTGGGACGAGGAGAAGGGGGGAGAAGGTACAGAAAATAAGTAGCATAGATGGTAGGTAGAAAATAGATAGGGGGGAGGGCAAGAATAGTATGGGAAATATGGAATCTAAAGAACTTGAGACACGTGGTCATAAACTAAAGGGGGGAATGGTGGGGGAGGGGTGCAGGGTGGAAGGGAATGAAGGGGGGAATAGAACAACTGTAATGGTATAATCAATAAAATATATATTTTTAAAAAGTGCAAACAAGATTTAAGATTACAACTATAGAGTCATGGCGACAGTACATATGAAAAAGGATTGGAAGCCCCAGTAGTGAAGAGCATATCTAGTGCCTAAATGTTGGTTTTTAAATAAGTTGTCCTGTAAAAGGAACCACAGCTTTTTGGTGAAAGAGTCAACACCAGGGCTGAGACAGGAAATGGTAAGATGAGCCTGGATACCTCAAAATAAGAGACTTGTGCACAACAGAAAGAATAATAGAGAGAAAGCACAACCTATGGAATGGGAAAATACATATTTGTAAGCCATATATCTGATAAAGGGTTAATATCCACAATATCTAAAGAACTCCTACAACTCAAGAGCAAAATAAATAAATAAATAATAACCTCATTTTAAAATGGGCAAAGAACTTGTAAATATTAATTATAGACATACACATGACTAAGAGGAAAAGATTTTGGTCATCATCACTAGTCATCAGGGAAATGCAAATCAAAACCACAATGAGATACCATCTCATACCAGTCAGGATAGTTATTATTTAAAAACAAAATCCCCCAAAATGAAGTGTTAGTGAGGACATGGAGTAATTGGAATTCTGTCTGCTGTTGGTGGGAATGTGAAAGGGTATAACTGCTATGAAAAGCTATATAAAATTTCCTCAAAAAATTATTCCCACTTTGAGTATTTATCCAAAAGAATTAAAAACTGAATCTTGAAGAGATATTTGAATTCCCGTGTTCACTAAAGCATTCAAAATAGCCAGATTGTGGAAACAACTAAATGTCCATTGATGGGTGAATAGATAAAGAAAATGTGCTTTATACGCACAATGAAATATTGTTCATTCTTCAGAAATTGGGAAATTCTGCCACATGCACCATAGATGAATCTTAAGGCTATTATGCTAAGTGAAATAAGCCAGCCACAGAAGGATAAACACCACAACACTCCACCTACAAAGTAAGAGTCAAGCTCATAGAAGCAGAGAGGGTGTGGGAAACGGGAAGTTGCTATTCAGTGAGTATAAACTTTCAGTTATGCAAGATCAGTTCCAACATCATGTCTGTAGTTAACAGCACTGTGTTGTACACTTAAAAATGTAAGAGAATAGATTTCATGTTAACTGTTCTTACCATAATTAGAAGAAAGAAAGAGCCTGGAGCCCCTTGTTGCAGGAAGTAAGGGATGGCTCAGAAACTAAAGGGGACAGACATGTTGAAAGATACAGGAAGCAGTTTGCAGAGACTCACGCTGATAGAATCTGGGGCAACTTGAGCATCAAATAATTGTAGTGGACATAACCTATTGAATAAAAGAGGAATCAGTGAGTCTATAGTAACAAGTAAATGGAGAAGGAAAAATGTTTCGCTGAAGTCAAGTGCCAATAACTGTAGAAGGAATGATGTAAGAAAAATCAGTACTTGGCAAGTGAGATAATTAAGGCAAGAATTATCAGTGGATGCTCAATGTGTCAATATGGTAATTACTGTTGCAGGGTGTTTTTATCCTGGGTAATTTGCCTGATTGTAATATAACCTCATGTGTATTTTTGGAGAAATACTATGTATAACACAGTTATGCCACACATTTATTTCAGTGCTTTTTAAAAAAATTTTTGAAAGATAATAATTGTAGTTGTTTTAGACTTAACAGCCCCGTGGTTTATATTTTTATTATGATTCTGGCTAGGCACCAAGAGAGATATGCAGAAGAGAAAGACCCTGAGTGTGTGCAAGGACCAGCAACGCTCTGTTACATGGGATCTTATTCCCGAAACATTGGTTCTTACTGCTGGCTCCATGACTCCATCATATTCCATTATCTCAAGGAAAGACGTGACTCAGCTTTTTCCATGTATTCTCAGTGGCATTCTCAGTGGCAAAAGGAGGCAGTACATATGCAAACAAATAGTAGAAGATGCTATAACTCCAGAAAGTTCAGTTACTGCTCAGAGCTCTCTGGGGATGAAATATGTAAACATGTCAAGAAAAATCATAAATGTAACAGTGACTACACCTGAATGATGAAATCAGGGAGTGAGTAGGGAATTTAACCATGTCTTTTGAAAATTATATTTTAATAATGTATTTATCTTGTATAAAATTATTAAGCTATAAAAAGGTATGCCATGGAAAGCATCCCCTGCTCTCTCCCCCAGATTCTCAGTTTCCCTTTCCATAGGCAACTGCAGTTGTTCCAGTCAAGATACTGGGTGCATGTAAAAAGCAAAGGCATATTTTTTTCTTCTACAAAAAAGGTAGCCTACTTATATTACTTTTAAAATAAAATGTTAGTAAAACCAGTATTGCTATATGACTTTAAAAGGAAAAATTGAGAAAATGAGGTGTAGATAAAGAGGAATGATGTGTGCTGGTCTTGTCAGGCATTATAAAGAATGTGGGTAAATAGAATCAGAATTATGGACTCTGCCCTGTATCTTGAATTACATGTTTTGGAGAATTTGGGGAATGTAGAACATGTACAGGGATTGAGTCTAGTCCAACTTACTGTAGTAAGTACTTCTGGTTATTTTAAAATCTCAACTTCATTTTCAACTCAAGTAGACTTAAGGAACGAATACATATGTTGCACGTTTGACATTTTATATAGAACAAATTATGAGTTGAGTTGGTTTTTAGACTATATCACATTTATTAAAAATTAGTATCATGGTCCATTCATAAAATGGAACATTCTTCACCCTTAAAAAGGTGGAAAATTTTGATGCCTACTGCAACATGCATGAACATTGAAGATGGGCTAAGTGAAATAAGTCAGTCACAAAAGGACACAAACACTGTATGATCCCACTTATATGAGCTCCTATAGTAGTCAAATTCATAGAGACAGAAAGTGGAAGAGTATTTGCCAGAGGTTGAGGGGAGGAAAGGAGGGGAAGTTAATGTTTAATGGGTACAGAATTTGAGTTTGGAAAGATGAACAAGTTCTGGAGATGAATGATGGCAACAGTTGCACAACAGTGTGAATGTATTTAATGCCATAGAAATATATACACTTAGGGATGGTAAATTTGTTGTTAAGTTTTACCATAATGAAGAAAAGGACACAATAAGTAGTATTTCAGATTTTGTCAAGACAGCATAATAAAAGTGTAATAGAAAAGTGTTTGTATACCTACTATAATATATTATTTTGTAGGCGTTATCTTTGGGAAAGCAGTCTGCACCTGCTAAACTGACGAATGGAAAGAAGTCGTAAGTACTCAAAGAAGGTTACGATTTCAGGAATTCTCGAGATTTTTCAGGTGTTTGGTCTGGACTAAATTTAGCCTACCCAAGAAAATTGGATGGTCTGTACCATCACAAAACTCTCCAGAGGAGCCTTCCAAAGCTACCCATGTTGGTCATTCTAGTGCTTACTAGTGTTTGTGTCTTCATAAATTGCTGTATAAATCTGATCTATACATGTTTGGACAAGTTTTCTTATCCAACCTTTGCTAAAAAGAAAAGGAGTACTTACAATATATTTTGGGGGGGAAATGTGTAGTATTTGTAAAACTGTTTGATTTATTTTTTTAATATATTTTATTGATTATGCCATTACAGTTGTTCTATTCCCCCCCCCGTCATTCCCCTCCACCCTACACACCCCTCCCCCACCATCCCCCCTTTAGTTTATGGCCACGTGTCTCAAGTTCTCTAGATTCTATATCTTCCCTACTATTGTTGCCCTCCCCCTATCTATTTTCTACCTATCATCTATGCTACTTATTTTCTGTACCTTCTCCCCCCTTCTCCTCCTCCCACTCCCCTGTTGCTAACCCTCCTTGAGATCTTCATTTCTATGGTTCTGCTCCTGATCTAGCTGTCCTCTTAGTTTGCTTTTGTTTTAGGTGTGGTTGTTAATAACTGTGAGTTTGCTGTCCTTTCACTGTTCATCTTTTTTATCTTCTTTTTCTTAGGTAAGTCTCTTTAACATTTCATATAATAAGGGCTTGATGATGATAAACTCCTTGAATTTGATCTTATCTGAGAAGCACTTTATCTGCCCTTCCATTCTAAATGAAAGCTTTGCTAGATAGGTCAGTCTTGGATGTAGGTCTTTGGATTTCATGACTTGGAATACTTCTTTCCAGCTCCTTCTTGCCTGTAAGGTGTCTTTTGAGAAATCCGCTGACAGTCTGATGGGGACTCCTTTGTAGGTGACTGTCCCCTTATCTCTTGCTGCTTCTAGGATTCTCTCCTTCATTTTAATCTTGGCTAATATAATTATGATGTGCCTTGGTGTGTTCCTTCTTGGGTCCAACTTCTTTGGGATTCTCTGAGCTTCCTGGATTTCCTGGAATTCTATTTCCTTTGCCAGATTGGGGAAATTCTTCTTTATTATTTGTTCAAATAAGTTTTCCACTGGTGGCTGTACCTCTTCCCCTTCTGGCACCCCTATAATTCTGATGTTGGAATGTTTAAAGATGTCCTGGAGGTTCCTAAGCCTCTCCTCATTTTTTTGAATTCTTGTTTCTACATTCTTTTCTGTTTGGTCATTTTTTTCCTCTTTCTGGTCCACTCCTTTGATTTGAGTCCCAGTTTCACTTGCATTACTATTGGTTTCCTGTGCATTTCCATTCATTTCAATTAGTTTAGCATTCATATGTTCCTCTAATTTGTGACTAAATTCAACCAGTTCTGTGAGCATCCTGATCACCAGTGTTTTGAACTGTGCATCTGAAAGTTTGGCTATTTTTTCATCACTTAGATTTATCAGCTATGGGGGTTTGAGTTCTTCTTGAGCCATGTTTTGGTCTGTTCCTGCCTGTTAGGTATGAGGAGCAGAACGTTAGTTGTTCGCCAGGGCGGGGCCACCCAGGTCGCTGGTTTGTGATGCTGTTTTGGGGGGCGCGTCAGAGAGAGGCAACCCAGGTCGCTGGTTTGTGACGCTATAGGTGGGTGCGGGGTCAGAGAGGGACAATGGCGGTCACCTCTGGCACTTCCTGCCACTGGGGCCTGCACGGTCTGTCTCACCGCTCCCTCCTTTACCGGTTTATCTGCACACAAATGTGTGACCGTGGTCAGCCTTCAGTGAGTTCGCCACCACGCACCCTCAGTGAGTCCTCCCGCTTCTCCACACCTGGGATCCACCTACGACTGCCGGCTGCCTGGGTCGCACGCCCAGGTAGGTCTGGTGGATCATTCGTGCCTGACCCCGTTCTGATGCTGGCTCTGCCCCTCTTACCAGTTTGGCTGAAGGGTTCATTGTTGTCAGACTTCCATGAAGTTCAATTTTCTGTGGTTTTGGCTGCATTTTTGTTGCTAAAACTTTGTTGTTTTTAAACTTGGTTGTGGGAGGAGGCACAGTGCTTCCACCTACGCCTCCATCTTGGCAGAAGTCCCTCAATTTATTTTCTAGGACTCGTTTAAGAAAGATATCACATTTTAATGCAGATTCTGGCTATCCCATCCATTCTGATTCAGAAAGTCAGGTAAGATTAAACTGAATCGATATAATACACATTATTTTAATTAGTCTTCAGGGAAAAGCTAAAAGTTGGGAATAAAAATTCAAAGGTAAAGTATTAATTGCCTTAAGGAAGTATGCTTGCTGTTGCTTTGAAACTATGTTTTCTACCAATACTAAATTGTTCCTAAAAGAAATTTTTAAACTCTGCAATTAGTTCTCTTTCCCTGCATTGAAATTTTATGTACACATTGCTAAATGACTTTCTCCTTACAGACTGAAGCTGTACAGGGGCTTGATGGTTGTGCTTCTTTGCTGCAGAACATTTTGAGAAATGAAAATTCAGGTTTTATTTGTTAAATGCTTTTTTGCTGATCAGCTTTTCTCACTTAAGTAGTTCTTTTAGTTCTTATGAATTTTTGTTTTAATTATTAATAGGCTCAGAAACAGCATGTTCCGAAAATAGATACAACCCTAGACCTTCGGAGGGCAAAAGGTATGGATCTAAACAGAAAGGATGTGAAAAACATACTCTTCATCAGTACGGAAAAAAATTTGTACATATTTTTACACTTCTTTAAATATACTACTTAATTCTGAGGATTTTGATAAACTTATCAGGATTATGCAGTTGGTCTTTCATTTTAATCATATATTGGCTATTTAGGTGTGTGTGCCTCTCTTTACTTACTCAGCTTCTAATCGCCAAGTAGTTACTTTGTTGACTAACAAGTTCCCAAGAACAAAAGTAGAAAAGTGACTTAGGTTTGTAGGAGACAAGACTACAACTCAGAATGCCATTGGGGAGGTATGTTGAATTATCTTTGTTCTCCCTGCCACTTGTTTCCATAGATAATCAGTAGTTCACTGGGTTATTATTTCTGCATTGTTGTGTATGTCTATGTCTTGGTAGGTTTGGTAGCTCAACTTGTTGAGCTGCACAGTTGGAGTGCATGGTACGTAAGAAGGTAAAATTCCAGGGACAGAGGGCCTGCTACTGACTACTGACCGACGGTGAATGTAGCCGAAGATATTTTACACCTTCACAGTTAACTTGCTGACTTAATTAAGTGTGATAATTTTGCACACAGCTTAGAAATCACAAGTTTTGCTTATGTTGTCCCTTGGCGACCTATAGAACAAGATAGCCCAAAAGGGACATGAACATTTTCACAATGGGAGTTCACATGGACCAGAATGTTGATGAGCTAGTTCCACAGCTCAGGTGGGCCAAAAACATTAGCACAGCAGTGCATGCTGAGATTCAGCTCAGGCAAGGTGTTCAGTTTAGAAAATCGGGTGTGGCAGTACAGTAGCCCTAGACTGGAGACTGATGTTCCATAGGGTCCCTGAGTCAGAGGAGTAAGGCAGAGACCAGCTACATTTAGCCTCACATTATGTCGACCTGCATTATCCAGGGTGGTAGTCACTAACCACATATGGCCATTGAGCATTTGAAGTATGGCTAGTACAACCAAGGAGCTGAATTGTAATTGTCGTTTAATTTTAATTAATTTAAACTTGAAAGTGGGTACTTGATCCAGTCATTAGAAAATATTTAAGTATGTTTGGAATAACATGGGTACATGAGTCTACTTTTACAGCTGTAAATTTTATTAAATCTGAACACAGATCAGGTATTTCTGATGAAAATTTAGCATCCAGATTGAGATGTGCTTTATATAAAATGCACACTAGGTTTAGAAGATTTAATGCAAAAAATAAATAACATTTAAAGTTAATTATGTTTTAAAATGTTAATATTTTGGATATACTGATTTGAATAAAACATGAAAATTAATGTTACCCCTTTTTACTTTTTTGATTAACTACTGGAAAATTTTACATTGCATATATGGTTTACATTACATTTTTCTTGGTCAGCAGTAGTCTAAACCAGTGGTCAGCATACTATAGTCAGTTTTAGTTCATAAGCAATGTTTAGTATTTTATTTATTTTATAAATAAAGTTTTATCAGAGCAGAGCCGTGCTAATTCATTTATGTATTTTCTGTGGCTGCTTTAGTGCTGTAACAGCAGAGTTGAGGAGTTGTGATAGAGACCATTTGGGCTACTAGGCCCAGAATATTAATCCTTTAGCCTTTTAAGAAAAAGCTTGTTAACCCCCATTCTGAACTCTCTCTTCATGTAATCCTCACATGAGGATATTTTAAATTCTTTATTTCTTTTAGAGAGAGGAAGAGAGAAAAAAAGAGAAACATCGATCAGTAGACTACTGTCCATTACTTGACTGGGGATTGAACCTATAACCTAGGTATGTGCCCTGACCAGGAATTGAACCTGTGACCTTTTGGTGCATGGATGACGTTCCAACCAGCTGAGCCACCTGGCCAGGGCAACCCCTGTTCTAAACTCTTAAAGCCCAGGCCTAGGTATTGGGGCCCAGTGGACAAAGCGGATTGGTAGTACCAACTGCCTATTCCTCCAGCATCCTACTTTTTTCTCAAGGTGGGTTATTTCTTGTCCAGGGCACCCTTCCTCAAAGAATTCTCATTCGGAACATTCATGGCTGACAGTGGTGACATGGTAGCAACTCGGATCCCAGAGAAACTGCTTGTTGTTCAGAGTTCCAACAGGAAACAGATGGCAACACTTCACCTCAAGTGTTTCTTGAATTGAATCCACTCTGGATAATTCGAGGAGGGTTTATTTAGAAAGAAACTCATTATAAAGGTGTGAGTGGGGTATAGGGAAACCACAGGGCATTGTACTGACCCAGTGCTAGTAGCATCGGAGATGTTGTCATTTCTAGGCCTTGAAGGATGAGGGGACGGAGATTCAGATACTGCTGTATAGAATGGAGCACCCCGACAAAAACAGTGAACTTCATTTAAGGAACATATATACTCTGACCACAGGCTTTCTTTCCTTGATAATGCTGAGAATCCCATTGGATCAGATCCAACTTGATTTTTATTCTTAGAAGCTAGTAAGTTTGCCTTACTGTGTCATAGATACTGGCAGGAGACACAAGACTCCTGGGTCAGAGACAAAGGAGTCTATTACTCATACCGCAATAAGCAGCGTGTACATCTGCATATTTGTCTTGGTTCCCCCCTTGCCACCAATTCCCATGGGCATGATGGGATGGATACTGATGGATGTTAGACATGCTGTAGAGGTTTAAGTTTCAGCTAAGGAACACTGAGTTGGTGATTACATTGCTTTGGGTAGTAAGCAGTAAGCAAGCCTGTACTTGTCTCAGGGGAAATACTACTTATCTCTCCAGGTAGCTAAGGTTTCACTCTGAGAAACAGCCCAGGTAAAGAGCTTACTTAGGTCATGCCTTGCTTTCTTGGTATAGCCAGCAAGAAACACAGGAGCTGAAGAGACTCATGAAGGATGGTCTCTTAACAGTGTAACCCATATACTGTATGTAGATCAGCACCTTAGGGAGAGCAAGGTGGAGCTGAGTAGAGGGTGGATTTGAAGGAGCAGTTGAGAGATGTCTGGCATTCTGTATCCCAAGCATTAAATTCTTAACTGGATTATAGTCACATCAGCAGTTCTGACCTCTGATCAGATTACAGTATTCTTTTTAAAATATATATATTTTATTTATTTTTCGAGAGAAGGGTAAAGAGAGAGAGGGGGAGAGAAAGTCAATGTGTGGTTGCCTCTCGCATGCCCCCTATGGCGGACCTGGCCTGCATCCCAGGCATGTGCCCTAACTGGGAATGGAATTGGCGACCCTTTGGTTCACAGGCTGGTGCTCAATCCACTGAGCCACACCAGCCAGGGGTAAGATTTTTTCTCAAATACAAATCTCCACCATTAGAGTTTCATATGGACTGAATTAATAAAGGAGGAAAGTAAGTCATTTTAATTCTAAGGCTTTGATTTTTAAGAAATGTGAAGCTCAGTAATTCATGTTGAATGATGACATCTGCTGGCAGAAGCCTAATATTGTAGCTCAGCTTTATCAGAGACTGTGAAAATCATCCCTTGAAAAGAAGGTGAATGAAAGTCAGTGCCTGGCACCTGTGAGGGTGAAATCTGAGAATTCCTCAAGCCAGATAATTCTTGTCTTACATGAGGCCAAAGGAAATCCAAGGGCAGCAGAGAGACCCATGAATTAAGAGGAAACAAAGAACTATGTGCTGCATAGCCACGGGCTATGATCTTACCTCCCATCTTTTAGATGTCTAAGTTAAAGTAATCTAGAGGATACTTCTCCACTTGATTTATAGTAAAATTATACTTCCAATTGGAAATATTTTACCTAAATGTGAATTAACCAATTTGTTGTAGTTCATTTATTCAGATAGTAAAGAAAAACTATTACTGCTTAAAGGGGGGAGACATACTTTGAGGTTTATTTTTGGTATCAGATGGGAAATTTGTGAATATGAAATATTTACTTGTCTGTCCTAAGACTTTGCGGTCATTTGGTAATACAGGCAACATTTATTGAGTTCTTACTATGCGCTAGACATTCTTTAGAAGTGTTACCTTATTTACTCTTCACAGTAACCTAAAGTAGGCAATAGTTTTATTATCATTTTTTCTGATGAGAGGTTAAGTAGTTTGCTGTAAGTTACTCAGCTAATTCATGTTAGAGCTCGTATTGAGGCCTGGTAGCTTCACAGGAATAGATCATCTTAAAAGGAGGCATACCTCAAGTCAAAATGGAGCTATCTAATATCTCTAACTATTTTCATAGTCCAATTTTAATTTATTGGTTTTTAAAAATTTTTTTCTGTCTTCAGTGGTTATATTTAATTTGCTTTTAACCTTTTGATTTTGTATGTAACTTGTATGCTTTTAGAAATGTTTTTATTTTCTTTGTTTCAAAGTTTATTTTAATTGTCCTTCAAGTACAGTTTTCTGTCTTTTACTACCATCCCAGTCCACCCTCCAGAAATGTTTTTATTCTCAATATACTATATTTGTGGAATTCTATAACAAAAATTTAACTGTTTCACTTTTTAAACAATTAAGGAGTAACTTTCATAAAGTATAAATCTTGATAAATTTTTGAGCATGTATACTTCCATATATTCACCACCTAGAAGAAGATATAGAACATTTTCAGTATCCTATTATCAGGCTTTTGCCTCATCAGTATCCTCACCATCAGCTGTCCCTTCTTCCTTGAGTAACCATTTCTCTGCTTTCTGTCTCCATTGGATAGCTTTACCTATTTTCGAACTTAATATACATGCATTTGTACACCATACAATCTTGTGTCTGACATCTTTCATAAAGCATTATGTCTGATAAGTTCATATAAATAGTTGTGTATATCCATAATCTGTTCTCTTCCATTGCTGTGTACAGTTTATCCATTTCTCCTAGTCATGGCTACTGGGTGTTTTCAGTTTTTGGCGACTGCAAATAAAGCTGTTGCGAACACTCTCGTGCACATCATTTACTGTACGTGAACACTCATTTCTGTTAGGTTTATGCCTGGGCTACAGTTGTTGTGTCAAAGAGTATTTGTACGTTCAGCTTTAGTAGGTACTGCTAAAAGCTACATATTATTCTAAATTCATCTTTTTTATTGTGATAACCTGCAATCTACCAAGGACATAGTCATTTCTGTTAGTGGTCTTTAAAAAACATTTGGGAAGGAGAACTTACTAAACAGGGAAATAGATTTTGATACTGATCTGTAAAGTAGTGCTATGCAGAAAATGTTTTTCATGTGTTAATATACTAATACATGAAATATACAGGTTTCTACTTTGTACTTCTTGTACATAGACTAACAGGGGACTATGGGAAGAAAATAATGAAATATAAGATACAGTTTTGCATGAAAATGCTTATTTTCGTTAGGCAAAAATGAAAGATAAGCAATGTAGTACATGCAAGTGGTAAGTGATTTGTGTAGACAGTATGTGCTCTGGGATGCTGAAGACTGGTCACTGGACTGGAAGATGGGAATTCAGGCTTCACTGAAGAGCACTGTAGAGGTTTAAGTTTCAGCTAAGGACCACTGAGTTGGTGATTACATTTCTTTGGGTAGTAAGCAGTAAGCAAGCCTGTACTTGCCTCAGGGGAAATACTACTTATCTCTCAAGGTAGCTAAGGTTTCACTCTGAGAAACAGCCCAGGTAAAGAGCTTAGGTCATGCCTCGCTTTCTTGGTATAGTCAGCAAGAAACACAGGAGCTGAAGAGACTCATGAAGGATGGTCTCTTAACAATGTAACCCATATACTGTTTGTAGATCATTCTACAGATGAGCAAAGATCACTGCAGATGAGCCTTGTCGAGTGGGTAGAATTGCATTGGAAGAAATGATTCATTCTGATTAATGCTATAGGAGGATGAAAAAGGCTTGTTGGGGGGTCTAAATGGGCCTGACTGGAATGAAAAAGTTGAGTTGGGGGTGATGGGAGGATGGTTGGAAAAGTAGGTTATGGTCAGGCTTTGGAGACTTTCAATGCCAGGTTAGGATTTTGTTTGAGTGTACAATGTGTAGATCGTCCATTATTGTTTTCAAAGCTCTGATTGATTATTTTTAAACCATTAAAGCATCATATTTGTCACAAAGTTTTCTGCTTTTTAAATTTCATTTTCCTCCAAGAACATGAAACTGGATAAGAAGCAAGGTGAAAGACTTATATTGGATATTAGAGAGCAATAACACCCTTGAGAGGTTATTTAATTGAAGGAGAGATTTTATAAATAAGATAAAGGAGATTTTAAGAGATTAAAAGAGATTTTAAATACATAGTATAGATAATTTTGACTGGAGAACTTAACTGATTACAAACCAAAAAAGAATTTGAAGTTATTTTCTTTATGGTTGATAAGAGGTAAAAAACTCTTCTGTAAAACATACAGTGAGTTGAGCTACTTCTGAAAGTTTTTTCCCTAGTTTCTTATGATAAAAGTTTTTGAAGAATCACATTTCCACATTTTTTCCTTCTTCCACATTAGTATCTTCAGATTATAGAAAACAGATACCTAATAAAACTTCTGCTGGAAGTGAAAGAGACTCCTCAGATATGCCACAAAATTGGTCATTCCAAGATCATTATAGAATGTACTCACCCGTAATATACCAAGCCCTCTGTGAGCATGTGCAGACTCAGATGTCATTGATGAATAACTCGGCTTCAAAGAACAACCCTAATGGAATTCCTGCTGTACCTTGCCACACTGGGTCTGGCTCTGGTTCTGGTTAGTATGAATGATGTTTTTAAACACATGTATATAAACTCGTTATTAAGTTGACTGGTTATTGTAAGTTATATGAGATGTGAATGACTTTTTTTTATCTCTCTTACCTTTTAGACTGTCAGGCAACTCCACATTCTAGTCACGGCTCATCCACTTCCACCCCAATCCAGTTACCTCAGCAGCCTCCCTGCCCTCCAGTGGTTCATTCCGTAGGTACAATTCATATACTATACAAGTAGCTTTTAGAAATTGTCATCTCCAAGAGAGTGAATTGAAGTTACTGATTATATCTTAATGTCCTAGGATGTATAAAGACCAATTATTTTTCCCAGTTATTTCATTACCCAAGTTGTTTTACCTATTTATTAAAGACAATGGTGAGAGGAAAAAGGGAGAAGAGTTTAATAGAAAAAAGAAGTCACTCGTACCAACCAACCAAACACAATTGCTGTTAACATTGATAGAGAACTTTCCAATCATTTAATTCTCTGTGTGTAGATTTTGTTCTCTGGTTTTTATCTAAGTTTGCTTTTTTATTTATGTATTCATTTTTAGACTTTATTTATTTTTAGAAAGAAGGGAAGAGAGGGAGAGAAACATCAATGTGTGGTTGCCTCTCACGTGTGCCCCCATTGGGGACCTGGCCCACAGCCCAGGCCTGTGCCCTGACTGGGAGTCAAACCGGCAACCCTTTGGTTTGGAGCCTGCGCTCAGCCCTACTGAGCTACACCAGCCAGAGCTAAGTTTGCTTTTTAAAAAAAGTATAGTCATAATTAAACTTTGTACTGTTTCATATTCTGATTTTTTTAACTTTTTATTGCAAACATGTTTTCATATTTATCTACAGTCTGTAAATATTTAGTTAAGTTGATTATACTCTACTTAGTGGATATACCGCATCTGTGTGACTACTCCCCTACTCCCCCCTGGCAGACATTTAAGCAGCAGTCAGCTTTTACTACTGTAACATTTCTGTGAGTCTGTGTGAAATCTTTTTGTGTGTTTGAGCTTGCTTTCTTACAATTAAATTTCCCAAAGCAGAAGTTTGTTTTAGTCCCTAAGTGGGCTAATTTTTTATGCCTTTTTCTTTAAACCATGAGTGGTATTTCTAAACAATATTATTTTAGGTGTGGCTTTATATATAATATATAATATTCCTATATTGCAGAATAAACTAACTTTTTAACAGCTATAATATTGTGCTAAGGGGAAACCCAGGTTACTTACTGGTAATTTATAACTCCATCCTGCAGAAGTCATTTTCTAATATTTCTGATTTTAATTTATTATAATTAATGCCAGTGCTCACATTTTTGAAGGGTTAACTTGTTTTTTTCTTTTCTTTAGGAAGTTCAGACTGATGATGACAACCTGTCTGCATCACAACATAATACAGTTTCTGTGAACTGTAGTGATATTCTAAGGAATACCTTTAGTACTAGTCTTGGAGTTCAGTGTAGCCTGCCCAAATCTGACAAAGCAGCTATTCCAGCATTTCAGCAGCTGGACCTTGCCAATGGAATTCTGTCACAACAAGAAGTTTCTAAGGAACCAGACCTATTACAGTGTTTCCAAACATATATGAATCTGTTGCATTCATATCCGGACAGTCAGACACACCGAAGTCCCGCTCTATCACAGTCAGCTGTCTTGGCCACTAATGAAGAAAAATGTGTCAAAGAACAAACTGGAGAGGTTACAAGTGAAGGAAAGGATTTAAACATACATGTGCGAGATTCAAGAATAAAGGGTGTCCAGGAAGCAAAAAATGGGAACCAGAGTGCTGAAAAAGTTAGAATTATTAAGTATTTGTTGGGAGAGCTAAAAGCCCTGGTAGCAGAACAAGGTAGATATGTACCTTATAATTTTCTGTAGTGTGGTGTTAATACTGTACAGCAATGCCATATTATTTAGTCATCATTTAAATTTAGAATAATCATCACAGAGTTTGTGGTATTCTCCATAGAAATATGTTTCCAGCTAATAAGGAAATGAGTTCTGCTAGCTTTATTATTTTTTAGATTTTGACTTCTCTACTGTGGATTTGAAATGTACTAGGGAGTATCAAACAGTCTTATTTGCAAGTGTGTGTTCATTCTACTTGGTCAAAAGGGATCTTGAGAAGATTCAACCAAAAAGAATTTGCAGGGATAAACCTGTAGGGGTTAGAGGATCCCTAAAGATGATTAACTCCCTGGAAGAGACTCAAGTTTATTTTAAGAAGATGCAGAGATTTTCTTCCCATCATTTTTTTATTAACCACCTATTCTAATGTTTTCTACTATTCCAGCAAATCTCACTGTGAGAAGTAACCCAAAACTTTTTATGCCCTTTTCATTGTACTTGTGGGATTTTTTGATTGAATCAAGAAAAATGTCTTAGGTGAAGTTATGAGCTATTTGAGCCAGGTTGTGTTCATTTGCTTGCATTATGTATGTGTTTTCTAAATAATGACTTTTTCTTAGAGTGAGTTAGAGATTTGTCATCTTAGAAAGCATGGTAGTTGATTGGGGAAGCACTGATTGAATATTTGCAGACTGACAGACAAAATATCAGTTTTTAAGTGCATTTATAGGAATATATTCCAAAGGTTTGATACATTAAAATCTGTTTTCAGACCTTCAATTTATCACTGTCCCCTCAAGCAAAGAGTTAATCATGGTAACCACAATAATTGTAACAATATTAGCTATCACTTATTGAACATTTACCATATGCGTGGCACTGTGCTAAGTGTTTTATGTGAATCATCTCATTTAATCCTCACAGCAACCCTATGAGGTACTGTTATTGCTCCCATTTTACAGATGAGGAAACCTAGGCTTGGAGAACAGTTTCTCATTCACTCCTCTTAGCAACCCTATGAGGTACTGTTATTTCCGTTTAACCAGGAAGAAATTTAGGCTGCAAGAGTTAAGTAATTTGACTACAGTTATAACACTAGAAAGTAGGGGAGCCCAGGTCACTGCCTCCAACACTTATGAGCAAAACCGCTGTACAAAGGATTGGTAGAGGGCTGCTTAGTAGTTGCACATTGTTGCTTACTCTTTACTTATAGTTTTCATCGGGTGCTAAAATACCCATGGAGTTATGTCTTGTTACTTAGAATATACTTCCTACCTCTTTTGGGTATCAGTTAATATTATAATTATTAAATGTTTTCAGCATATAAAGTACTTGAAAGGAAGTGAGAGGAGAAAAATAAAAGGACAAAAGATCTAAATTCTACATCCGACATGTGTTTGCCACCTCCAAAACCATCCACTTCCCCCAATTACTGAAAGACGGGTACTGCTTCTGAGGGTACATCAAATGAGGAGTGGCTGGTGTTGTTAGATCTCCTTTATAAAATTAAGTAATAACACTTTATCTTAAGAGAAACCCTCCCTTGATATTGTGCCACATTGGATCACTTAAAGTAAATTATTTACAACAGAATCAAAAACTCATAAATGTGAATACTGTCAGCAATTACAGGGAACTAGCTATCCAGTAGTCCTTTGATAATGTGAACTAGGGGATAGGTGGACACACTGAGAAAAATCACTAACTTAATAATGCTGAGATTTAAGATGAATCTTTAGTTGTCTGAATTTAATTTCTTTAGAATTTTTCTGAATACACAGGCAGCAGGAAAAAGGAAAACAGGGTTTGTGTATTAAATTTAGAAATAAGTGGGTTTATTTATAGCGAATATGTACATATCTGAAAATTTTTTTTCACTAATACACATGAATAATCTTATCCCAAAACAACTTACATTGTGGTTTTACTTATTTCTTTTGCCTTTTGTAGAGGATTCAGAAATTCAGAGACTGATTACAGAATTGGAGGCATGTGTATCTCTGTTTCCAGCAGCAAGTGGCAACACAAACATTCAAGTTGAAATAGCACTGGCCACGCAACCACTAAGGAGTGAAAATGCTCGGTTATGTAGGTAAGAACTGCTCTGAATATTTTTGTGTCTATGCGGAGATGTTCCACGGTCAGAACAAAGGTGCCAAATGAGACGTCCAGGGCTCCATAAGAAGACTAGGTTTACTGTGTTACTGTGTTTGTGCTTTGTGTCCCCCATTTCCCATACATTGTTAGCATCCTCTGACATTTCCACTATTGCTGCCCACTCGGACATCCTTCCTCCCACCTCTTTTACCTCTGTTGCCACTTGACTGGTAGTGTATAAAGAGGGAAATGAAGTATTGATACCTCAGGGTATTTATCAGGCTAGTCTAGGCTATGCTGCAGTGACAGAGTCCAAAACTCTGGCATAACACAGCAGAAGTTTATTCTCCCTCACCAAGACCAACATGCATCTCCTTCATCCTGCGACTTAGGACTTAGTTTCCCCTCATAAGGCCGTTGTCTCAGTGTTTTCCAGGAAGAAGAGAACATGGATACAGCACGCTGACTTTTACATGCCCCAGCCCAGAAGTGACAGTCTTACTTCTTATATTTTGTAGGCTAAAAAGAGGCACATGGCCCTGCCTAACAGAAACATGTGGGACATAAATTTGCCCCATATTTCCATACAGGAGAGGAGAACCCATTAGGTGTGAGCACCAGTAGCCCCATCACACTCAGACTTAGAAAAAGATTCCAATTTCTTTTGACTGTCACAACTTATATTGGGATTATGGTCTTAATTTCTTTAGGAAAGATCTAAGCAGGGATGTAACCCTGAAATACAGAAATCACTTACATATTATCAATAACACCTTAAATTTGAATGTTCCAGTGATGACTACCAAGGCCACTGCGCCACTATCTATCTATCAGTGTGCTTTGCAGACAACTGAAGCAAACTTTCAGGTGCTTCTGCAGCCTGTGTGTGAGCGTGCCCTGAGAGGGCGTCACATTGCATGAGCTACAGACGTTGTACCACATGGGACCTGGAACCTGCACACACATTGTCCAGAAACTGGGAAACAATCAAATAGGATTCCTAGTTGTAAAACAGGTTAAATTCATGGATCCGGAGCCTGCAAAAACATGACACCCAATGAGATTTCTTGCTTAGGATAATTTATCTAACAATCATTAGACCCAGGATACTATGATATATATTGTAGGGTTGCAGGGTTTAAATTCTAATAATATTGTTTTTGTTTCTGAATTGAATTATCCTATAATAATAGCATTAGTTTTTCATAATCAAAACCAGGAATAAATAATAATAATCATAGCCAATACTATTTCTACCATTTTTAGATGGTTTTTATGCACCAGAGTATTAATAACATTTATATGGGTCATCTCTTTAAATTCTCACAAGAGCTTTATAAAATAGGTATTTTGTTATTCTCACTTACAGATGAGGAAGCCATGGCAAAGAGAGGTCAGGGCACGTGCCTAGGTTGTGGGCCACGTCCCCAGTAGGGGGCACACAACAGACAACCATACACTGATCTTTCTCTTTCTCCCTCTTTTCCCCTGTTCTGTAAAAATAAATAAATAAATAAGCCCTCAATTGCCTCAGCTAGGAAGTAGAGACTCACTTATTTGTACTTCACTATTTAGGTGTATTTTGTGAAACAAAAGAATATACTAAAGCCATTTAAAATAAACAAGCATGTTTTTAAAGATATGACTATCAACTCAAATGATTGGCTTCTTAAATGAGCAGAACTTAATCTCAAAATACTTTTAATGTTGTGATCATGGAACATATCAATGGTTTTTGTGTATTTCTATTCCTTAAAACATTTTAGAGTTGTTTTAGGAGCTAATTTGAAAATGGTACTCACTACTTTATCGATCATTTCTAATTTTTTTTAAAAGGTATTATCCCTGGCTGGTGTAGCTCAGTGGATTGAGTGCCAGCCTGCAAACCAAAGGGTCACTAGTTCAATTCCCAGTCAGGACACATGCCTGGGTTATGGTCCAGGTCCCTGGTGAGGGGTGTGCGAGAGGCAACCACAGACTGATGTTTCTCTCCCTCTCTTTCTCACTCCTTTCCCTTCTCTCTAAAAATACAGAAATAACATCTGTTTTGAGTTCTGACTGCTTTTCAAATGGCTATGGCTCCTGCCACTTTCTCTCATACTTCTTCCAAGAAGATAATGAACTATTATTAAAAGGAAAAAATGCTATAGGAACATCTTTAAAGGACTACTAAAATGAATAGTGACCCACTTATTGATTCAATCGGAATTGCATGCTGATTGAATCAGGAAATTTTGAAATTTTTATTTTTATTTACTTTTGGAAAAGGAATACATAGTTATGGTGAGGTTTCTTTCAGGACTTAAATAAAAATGTTCTCTTTGCTGTAGGGGAAAATCGGTGATCAAGAAAGGAAGGGATGATGACAATAACAGCTTAGTCTGGAAATTAATGTCGACGAGTCAGCTTCTGATGTACGAACAAAATGTGACTCATCACTGTCTCCAAAATTAAAAATCTCTGTAATTAAGAAATGAGAATATATCAAAATTTTAAAACAGCTACAAAGTGACTATATTTTTGTGTTTGGGTTACATGGGGGACAGCTGAATACACTGATTTTCAATGCTTAGATAACTTCATGAGACATGCAAGGTTCTTGGCTAGTTATAAAAATATGCTCATTTAAATAACTGTCAGCTCTTAAAAGCTATTAGAAGATTTAGTACTTCTTTACTGAAAATATATTGATTTCCCCACATTTTAATAGTTTTATAATATGTGTTACAGTAAAATCTAAAAAAATTATAAAGATACATTTCAAAATCACTGAAGGCTGGAGACAAGAGAGAGGTAGAGGGGGATACTGTTTAGAACTTGTATGTGTATCTTCCAGTTCCATTATCCCTCCCCAGTAGTCTGAGAAAGGCACCCGGAAATTTTGTGCAATATCTTTACTAAGAGATTTTTAAAAAACATACAAAAGAGCCCTGGCTGGTGTAGCTAGTAAGATAAATAAATAAAATCTTAAAAAAAAAAAAAACAAAAAAACATACAAAAGACATACACCTATCTGACTGAGGTACATTACCGTAGGGAAGAGGAATGAGGTAGATGAATGTGAAGATTTATTTCTCTATATTGTTGGATGTTCCTAATTTGCCTTTTAATATCAAAGTAAAATGACAGTGGTCACAGTGGCTAGCTATAGTACTGGAGATGTTCCTAATTAATAGGATTACATAGGGTGTCACCAAACATTATATAAATAACCAACATGGATGAATTTAGATGCGATTAAGTTCAAAGACAGATTTTTTTGTTTTGTTTTTAAAGGACAAAACTAATATTGCCATCAATGGGTACACGTACTTGAATTTTGAAGCTGTCACTCAATCTTCAGAAAATGTGAGAATGGTACTAACCCTTAAATCAGACATTGTGCTAAGCCAGCTCACAAACGACTCGACAATCATTTACAGTTCATCTAACAGAGCAACTGCCAGTCATGAGGCAGGAAACAGGGAAGCACAAAAATAAAAGGTCCTTGATTAAGGAGGAGGTCTACAATGAGTAAAACAGAGTGTACAGCTACACACAGAGCGGATGTTAGGTTTAGGTGTCATCGCTACTTCTCCTAACCAGCATTTATAACGCGGTCGCACTTTTGTTTTCTTTCGGTTTTCCACCTCTCCCGGCCTGAGAACCCCCTCCATTCCCACAGTGGACGCCTCAGATCCACAGCCCTCACCTGGCCCGGTCGAGATCCGGACCTAACCATCTCTCGCAGTCTGAGAAGCCCAGAACGAAGGAAGCAACACCGCAAGGTAAAAGGAATTAACCACCATGGACTACCGGCCGCCCCTGGCCCGCTTTCCGGGCTTAGGCTTCCAGAAGGAGCCGCCGAAAAGCCGCGCTTCTTGGTTTGCAGCCCGCGGCAGACGCCTCTCCTCTAGTCCCAACCGGGCGCACTGGGCCTGCGCAATAGACCTGCCCGGCTCCCGGCCAATCAAACTGGCCTGAGGTTGGGAGATGGCCGAAGAACGCGAATGGGGTGGGGCTGGGGAGGGGCCAAGAGGGGCGGGGCGCAAGAGGGGTTGGAGGCTCGAGGTCAGATTCCGGGACCTGGCGGAACAAGCGGAGGCTTCTCGAGGATTCCTGGCGCAGGGCCACGCAAAGAACTACCGGATCGTGCAACTGGTGGAGGATTGGCGCCCCCAAGGACTCGCGAGGTCCAGAGAAAGGGAAGCGGGTAGAGGGCGGATGGGTTTGAGAAAGAAATGCGCTGGGCTTTTTGGGTTTCGGCTCTTTGCTTTTTGTTAGGTGTCTTCTGTGACATTTTGAATGATTTTCAAATAGTCAATAAAAATTAGTCCTTGGTCTCGCTATCTCTGAATAATTCTAATGGCAAATTCAAAATTGGTCACTGTGGCCCTTGATCTCAGAATGGTGCTCATCACCTGAAAGTTGGGATCTGGTTTTACTTCCTTGCATAGTTGTCTACCCTTCAGCCTAGGTAATTACTGTGAAAGAACGACACAGTATTCTTACCATGGCACGCTGCACGAATTTTAATGGAAATTAGTCCTTGGTTTTAAGGTATTGATTTGGGGTTAATATTTTAAATCAATTGATTTCATTTTTCTAATTAGGAAAAAAGAACAGCCTCTTGAAAGTCAATGCAAGTTTAATTGCAAACCAATTGCAATTAAAACAAAACCTTAGAAATTAAAGCTGTCCACTAATGTATTGCACTCTCATAGTGATTTGGGGAATCTGGGTATTTAGTAAATTTAGTTTTGAATTAGATTAGACTGTGAAACCTCTCTCTTCTTCATCTCTCTCCTATGTGTTCAAGAAATAAAAATCCCCCATGTAATCCCGCTACCCAGTTCGCTGCATTCCCTTCTAGACTTTTCCCAATTGTGTGTGCATACATAAGTATATTGCAGCAACACAATATGATCCATATAACTATAACATGAAGGTTTTCTGTCATCAGTTCATCAACGTTGTTTCTTGCTAATCTACAATTACAAAATGGCTGCCGGGTGTTCTA